GCTCTGCGGCTTAGCTCGGGCAGACTGGGTGCAATGTGGGGGGGGGCTCAGCTTTGGATCAGGTGGGCCAAGGAGAGAGCCAAGCCCCCACCCACATTGCACCCAGCCTGTTCAGAGTTGCACAGAGACCCCAGGAGCTGATGCTGCCTCTCCCACCCTCCTTGTCTGGCACGGAGGTCAGATGCTTGCCTGGGACAGAGGTGGGAGGAGCAGGGAAAGCTGTGCTGGGTGTTGGGGGCAGACAGTCCCAGCCTGCCTGCTGTCCCAGGCGGGAGCCCCAGCACTGGCCTCTAAGGGCTCCTGAATCCCAAGTGGGTAGTGAGGCATCCTGCCCTGCAGGGCTGCCTTGCCTGGCCAGCAAACCCACCCTGATGGAGAGTTGTGGGGGAGCCACTAGCAAAGGCCCCATCCCCTCTGCCAACTTAGTCCCACGTCAGTCCACACACCAACAGGGACCACTGCTGCTGGAACTGCTGCTCCAGCTCCAGCATCTGTGCCTTGGAAAACAGCACCCACCATGTCTTCTTCTTGGTGGTGCCTGGAAGCAGCACGGGACTCCACATGCTCAGCTCCAGCCTGCTCAGTCACATAGTGTTAAGGCGCCTTAATGGCGTCTACATGTGGGTTAAGGTGCCTTAACTAATTGCACCAAATTTGGTACTTACTTCATGCAAGTGTTAAATTTAGGTGTGATTAGCCTAAAATCATCATTTCAAAGGCACATTAAAAACGTGCTGATGTGCCTTAAATCAAAAATAGGTGATGTGCCTTAAATCACCATGTGTAGATGTGCCCACTGAAAAAGACAGTAGTAATCACAATACCAACTGGAGAAAAACTAGTGAACTAGTATACATCAGACTCCTGATATCAAACAGATCTCATTTCTCATTCCCTTCTACCTCTGAGCTTATATACCCAAGTCAAAATCCGCAGAAGAGGATGTCCCCTGGTAGTTTTAGATGGTTTATTGTCATTTCATTTAACTGCTCATATACTCATTAACCATGAAGGCAACTTTTTTTGAAGTGTTTTTCAAGGTGAAGACAAATATAACAATTGTATTGATATATTAGTATCCTTGATAAGCTGTTAGGATGCAACCACTACATCTGTATAATTCTGAAATGGCATAAATATAGCTCCAACTTCAACCCTGCTTCATTCAGAGTCAAAGTTAGGGCAGTTTAGCTCACAGGATCATGGATGTAGCTGTTGCATCTGTAACATCTGCTACACACTCCTGAGTAGCAGCAGCTCCCCTTTCCCTTTTAAAGTTGTGAAAATGTTCACCTGCACACTCTCAGTCTTTGATATGTTTCATGGCATCTACCTGCTGTTTTTGTAGTCTGCTGTGGAATATACACAATAGGTACTCCACAATCTGGGGCAGTTCATGCAACAAGGCCTCACAAATAAGCTATTGATGCTGCTGCTGTTTATGTTTTATACCCATCATGATAAAGTCTAAAGTTGCCACAGTAGATCAAGACTTCAGGGTGCCAGGTGATGTAGAGAGAGTAGAAGATATTTTTGTCCCATACATTTCACAATCTACCATCCAATTAATACCTGCATATGGAACACTTCTGATTTATAAGCCCAGCTGCCTTTGGCAATCAATGTTTATACAATTGGGCTGCTTGTAAGTGTCAGTGAGCTATATGATTAATGAGGCATGTGAAAAAATGTGGTATTAAATTGCTGGAATACACATAAAAGCCAGATTAAAGTATTTATTTTCAGAACACTTTCCTGGTAAAAGCCTTGCCATTATTTTACGTCCTTCTCTTTCTTCATAAGCAGTGCCTGTAATTTACTGCAATAATAATCCTGGCATGTTGTAAGAGATGGTCTCACCCAAAGCAGAAGCCTCTGTGGAGAAAATAAAAGGCAATGCATTGAGTCAAGTCCTGTTTGTAGTCCTGTTGAAATCAGAGTGGCTGCATAGTTCTACATGCAAGTAAGAATTCGGTCCATTTTCAGCAGTTGTCTACCTTCCAACATTGTAATGAAGCTGTTGGCTTAATACTGGGCCCTCCTTCATTCTTGTTCCTTCCTTTTCAGCATGACAAGACAGGAAAAAAGACAACCACAGGACATCCTTGGAGATACAGGGACATAGACTGCTAGGGTCAATGTTATCTAAGGGATCAGGAAAGGGAGATCAGGAATTGGAGCTAGCAGACAGAAGGCTAGTGTGGTAGGGCTAGCAGGAGCTGGCTCCAGAGAGAAAGCTAGGGAGCAAAGCCTGATGTATGGAGTATACAGAGGCTGTGAATAATATTTGCCCCAGCAGGGCCAAGGGAAGAAGTTTGACTAAAGCAAGACAGAAATGGAGAGCAACCCTGAAATTGGTTGTTAAAGACCATATAAAATAATGAAAGGAAGAGATCCAAGGAAAGCGCTGGTGAGACTTTAGATACCCAAGTCTGGAACATGTCCACTCCTGCACCACCAAAAACATTAGGTGCCTACATTTTGGATGGCATATTCCCTATGTGCTTAGGCTGCTGTGCACTCTAGGAAGCAACCCAGTCTAAGCAGGTAGGCACTGACCTCACTCTCACCTAGCCTCTGGTGTGGTTCAGATGCAATGTGGAGCAGCACATAGCTGCATGTGAGCCCTCGGCCCTTATCTGTTAGGACTGATCCAAGCATGCCAAGATGGAAAGCTAGTGTGCCAGGGCTAGCAGACTCAATTAATCGAGTCTGCTCCAATGCATTCTAACAAGAACACGTCAGAGCAGGCATCAGATATGTGTATAGGTACCCTTAAAGACTACGCCTTTCTCAATGGATAAGTCTTTAAAGTGCTACACTGCCCTGCCCTCTTCATGTTGATAGAAATATTATGGCAACTGCAGTAAATTGGTAAACTGAGATGTACTTTCTAAATTAGTAAACTGAAATCCATTTTTAACAATTGGGTCTTGATGAGAAGTTTTCCTCTTATTTTAACTTCACATTGGATCTGCGAGGGCTTAGAAGAAAACTCGAAAACCACACTCCCAATAGCTGGATCAAAGCAGAAAAAATTACCTGATTTTTATCCTCCCAGTCTAGTCCAACCATTACCTGTACTGTTCATGTCTATAATTATTCCCATACATTTTTTTTTATTTTTAAAGAATCATAAAAGGAAAGGGGAGCTGAGAAAATAAGTCTTCAGCCCAAGGAGGGGACAGATGTAGACAGGATAGGATGGACTGGGACTAAGATTCACTGGCTGTGTCTACACGAGATGCTGACTGCACAGTTGTTACTGTGAAGTCATTTAAACTTGCAATACCCAAGTATTAAATGACTGCAGTAACCAGTGTTACCGTGCAGTAGCATCCCTGCATGGCTTCCTGGTGATGCTGACTGCACAGTAGCTTGTTACTACTGCACAGTAGCATTGCATCAGAGTTTGTGTCCCCCGGCACTAGTGCACAGTAGTAATGAGTTACTGCGCAGTAAGCATCTTATGTAGACATGGCCACTGATTAGATAACAGGAGAAGAGCCACGTGGCAGGAAAAGGGGTCTGGATGGAGTTACGGAGATGGTAGCTGGTGAAAGAGGAGGGAGCTGGGCAGGAAGATAGAGTGGGTTCTAGGGAGAATGGGAATGGGGACAAAGGCAGCTTTAAGCAGCTATGGCCCTGGAGAGTTTGGCAGATAAAAGAAGTAAGGGAGAGAGTAAGAGCTGCATACAGCCCACGTAGGCATCAGGAGAAGAATAGAGAAGGAATAAGAGGCAGATCTGTGGGGCAGTGAAGTACTGCTGTCATTGCCTCACTGCTTCCTCTCCATGTCAGATGTGTTACAGGAGTGGGTATTCAGTGGAACCTAGGCTGCTTGTACATGCCACAGGGGTTTAATTTGGTTTACTTCTCCCTAAAGTGAAACAGTGGATTTTTAAAAACACAGCTTTAATTTACGGAGAATTAAACTGAACGAAACCCCTGTGGCATGTACACAAGGGTGGGGCCTGATCCTTTCTTATTTGGAGAAAAAAAAATAAAAATCAGGCTTGCCACTTTTTGTTTTTCCTTCAGTGGAGCTTGCCTGCATGGGCTGCCACCAGGTCCCACAGCCCATGAGCTGCATGGGGCCCACCAGTGTCCCATGCACTGTTGCACTTTGTTAGGTAGCAAACTAAAACACCTTGGTGTTTTATCTTGCTATGTACCAAAGTCATTTAAAGCAGAACACGCTGCTGAGTGTGCAAACAGCAATGCCATTAAAGCAGTGCAAAAGGACATTTAAGCCACTTAAAAGGCCAATTTTGTGGTGTGTGCAAAGGCCCCCAGAGATTATTCTGGAGTTGTGGTTCTCAGTCTTTGGATTCAAGGCAGCCTCCTTAACTTTGCTGAATTCAGCAGCATCTCCATTGAGGACCATTGTTTCTGCAGCCCTGGGCAGACAGCAGGGTGAGGAACAGAGAGTGGGAGAAGACGAGTGGGGGACCAGGAAGAATCTTACCTGCCACAGTGGGGACCTCAGGTGGAGTTCCCTTGTCAGCCTCACTCAGCATGTGGTGGGGGAGGGAGGCAGAGGATTAAAGGAGAGGAGGAACAAAGGAGAGGAGTCATACCTGCCTGGGATCTACCCACTTGAGTGGCTGCTGCTACTGCTACTGCTGCTGCTGTAGCAGTGTGGGCTCAGGCCACTGCCTCTGAGGGACAGGCAGCAGCATGGGCTCCACTCCTGGTGCCCCATTTGCTCCCCCCACCCACAGGGGCAGGGCTGTGCCTGTCATGACAGTCTCAGGGGGAAGGGGTGTCATTCTATCTCCCTTCATCCTCTGGTTAAGAACCACTGCTCTGGAGCTTGAATATACAGGCCCATTCAAAATATTCAACCTGTCCATAGTGCCTGTATTGGACAACTGACAGTGCAAGTCAAAGTTCTCACCTCCCCTGCCCTCTGTGCCCAGTCCTTAAATTGAAAGATGGGATAGTTCGTTCTGTTGTTTCTCTGCTAATGGGGTGTAAATCAGGCAATAAACACAAAGCATTCTTGCAGATCGAAGAGTCAAAAGTGAAGGAGAAGAGCACCTCTAGCCCTAAATGTTACATGTTCCCAGGGCTCTGAAGAAGCTTCAGAATTAAGTTGCTGAGCTACTAACAAAATCATACTCTTAATAAAATTGGCTGCAATCCTGAAGCACGGTGGGGCTCACAAATGTATCCGTGAGCCAACAGCTGGAAACAGGGTGAACACCAGAGTGCACACAATGTTGCTTTAAGACTAAAATCACAGGTCTGTGTGAGTTAAGGGAACTCTATCAAGACTGTACAGATTTTGCAATTATTTCCTTTCAGAGCATTCATTTTTGCTACTCTAATGCAAGGCGCTGTTTATGAAGCATGCTTTAGAAAGACTTCTATATCCCTGCAGTTAATGGTTTAAACAGAAGAGGGCATTCGTTACTAAGCATGAAGACATGCTAAGGATCTGAGTTTATGTCTGCGAAGTGTTTGAAAATGGTAGATTTGTTTCTTAATGATTAATAAAGGTTCATCATCCAACTATAAATCTTTGCTAGACATCATGTACCAAGAGTAGTATAAATAATTACAAATTAAAACCTGTGCAGTAAACAAATGTTTGAGGTGCCCTTAAGCAGCACTAGCCACAATACAGCTAAATAAACCTGAAAAATCACAAGGATTTGACCCGCATACTAATCTCTATAAATGTTTAGATTTATCAAAGGCTGATTTGGAAATGGTTGAAGAGAGGCGGTATGGTTTGTTGAACAAGATGTCAGACTGGGACTTGGGAGATTTGGGTTTTATTCTTGGTTTTACAGTTTGGGACCTTATACAAGTCATTTAATCTTGCTGTGCCTCAGTGTCTCTTTCTGTAAATGGAGCTAAAGGTTAAATCTAAACTTCAGTGTTTAATGTCAAAATCACAACTAGCTTGGAACGGAGATAGCTTCAGTCTGAAATGGATTTAGAGGACTGAATCCAAAGCCAACCACTTGGTACCAGTAACCCTATTATCAGATATGTTGATGGGTTTTATTTTTTAGTGAAGACTTTCTATTTTTCTGCAGTATTTGTCATTTTTCTCATATATCATTGGGTTGTTTTAATATAGTTGATAGAAAAACTTGGGGGAATTTTTCTTAGAAGCCATTTAAATTAGGCTGTTAGATGTTAGGTAATTTACAAAATGCACTAAGGCCCTGTCTCTCAGAAAGCATTCCCTGCATGTTGCCTATACAGCCCTGAAAGCTGCACCTTATTCTGAGGTTTTACTTTTTCCTTGACAACAGGCATATATTATCATTAGGCCTAAACCATCGTCCCTGTTTTGGGACGAAGTGATAACTTATGCAGCAAATTCAATAGGCAAGATGGGTTGGTATCTGTTGACAACACAAATTGACCTTAAACCTGCTTTTGAGAATTTCCTTACTGTAAAGACCACCAAACACTCCTCTCTTGGGGCTATGCACCAAATGAAGCAACGCCCAAACTCTGCAATTGCTGCAGGAAGGAAAGCTGAGCATATTGGAAGGTGAGAAGCTTACTTACCAGAGATTATCTTCTTCTTCTAAAACTTTTCAATAGGTCACTGTCAGGGAAAAAAACCCCTGTGCATCATGCTGTTCTTTCTCTTAAATAAGCTGCAGCCAGCTGTAGAGTAACCATGTGCAACTTTCAGGGCCTTGTAAGATCCTGAAGGTTGCAGCTCCTTACTGCTATCTTTGTTAACATGACAAGACAATCAGACACAGCGAGAAAAATGATCCTCTTGATGTGTAGTGTCCCAGATGGTTTCAAGTGAATACTGTGCTTTAAAAGTGTGTTTTACCATTTAAATCATTCTATAAGCAGAACAACATGCTTGCTTTTTTCCTGTGTTGATATGGGGCATACAGAACAGCAGAAGAAGCAACTGCCATTTAATTCAAGACACTGACAGTGTCATTAAACATATCTTGTTGCACTGCAAATTTACTTCAGTGGAAAATTGCATTTGCTTTTTCTCTCATTTGTGAGATTTCAACTTACAATATTATTATGGATGTTGCTTCTTTTTATAGTTGTAGGTATTAATCTAGTTCTTTAATTAAGGGTCTGTCAGCATTTGCATTAAAATCCCTTCATTTTTAAGGATGTGTAATGCATTCTTAAAAACTAAAGCAGATATTTCACACAGAAAGATGGTCTCAATTTGCACAAGATCTGTGTATCTATGTAAAATCTCAAGGGGAAGGAAAAGGAGACAAAAATCAAGTTAGGTTCCTGAGAATAAGCTTGATATAAGATGTCTATGTGTGTGTATACACAAAAGATGTCTGTGTGTGTGTTTCTATGAAAAAATGAACACTTTTTAAATTGCTAAGCTAGCATATCTGCTTCAGTAATAAACAGATAGGATGCAGATATAAGGAATAATTTGTGCAGTCATGCCAAGATTGCAGGTATTTAAATGATAGCTTCAGGTATCTTCCTGTATATGAGGTGATAATGGCTTCAGAATGTATTAGCTCATGATACTGTCATCTTTCTATTTAAATTTACATGGTACAACTCTAAGTTCCAGGACCTCTACTCCCCTTTGCAATTCTATTCCAGGAGCAAAATTTCTTTCCCTCCACACAGAAAGACTGAGGTTCCATCTTAAAAATAAGTCCACTTGCCTCTAGATATGCCAGAGGTTAGGCTCACAGGCAAAGAGGACTTAGGCCTCCTCACTTGTGACTGGTGTCTTTGGCTCCCTAATTCTTTCTGCTGTCAGTGGTACCCCTTTGTCTCATGGATTTAAGAGAATACAGGGTTCAATTGCTTGCTGATATGTGTATTATGGAGCTGTACAGAGCTTCTCTCTTTTCTTAACAAGTATTCGACGCATGAGATACTTGTTAAGAAAAACAAGGGAATTTATGACAACGATAGCCTTCTGATTTGTCATGGCCCATCCTAGGCTAGATCTGAGGTTCAGCTTTTCTCTGTATCATGAACAAATGGAAATATGGAGCTCACAGCCACCATATTGAAATAGATTCTCCCTCTCTGCTTGCTTGTGCTCTGATTTATAATAATACATAGCTGTTTTAGATTGCAAAGTGCTTTATATTGTTATCACCATTCTGCAGATGGGAAAACAAATGCAGAGAGGCAGAGTGACTGGCCCAAGGTCACTGGCATGACTGGGAATAGAATCAATGTCTTCTGAGTTCCAGTCCCATTCTCTATCCAGGCCTTTCTACCACAGGTTCCTCTGTGTCATTTGTCTCCTGTTGTCAGAGCTTGCTTACCAGAGTGGGCTGGGAATTTTCCATCACAATTCTTTGGATGAAAAATGCTGTTTCTGGGAAACCGAAAATTCTCAGGGGAATATAAAAAATTGTTTTCAGATTTTTTTTCAATCTTCTGTCAGGAAATTTAAAACTAAAACTAAAACATCAGGTTAGGTTGATATTAATCTGTCTGCCTGAATTCCCTGGGGTATCATGGAATATAGTTCAGATATAGGTCAGGTGCTGTGGGTCCTGATTTGGGGCCAGATTTCCATGCTGAGTGTCTTCTGCCATGACCACATTTCCTCTTTTAGCTGAACTGCCCTGGACCATCTGATGATATGTAGTTTTGAGTGGGGTGCCCTGCCCAGAATTTCTTGTGGGATGGAACTTCTGAGCTGCTGTCTACAGTATAAATGTGGTCTGTGTCTTGCCAAACCAGAGTCAAGCTCATTGTTTTGCATACAAGCCCTCAACAATTTGCCCATTAGTCACAAAAAATAACATTTCCTTCTGTTCTCAGAATGAAAAAAATGATCCCTACCTCCACTACAAAACTACTGCAAACCACAACCCTGGTTTCTGTAACAGTGGCATCACACGGTCAACTTAACATTTACTAAGTGCAGTTAAAATGTGAGCAGACACAAGTTCAAGCAGTTTAGCACGTGTTAGCATGTACTGACTTTCATAGGTCACTACACTTCAGTAATTTGCAAATGTTGAAAGTGAGTGCATGACACTACCCTAAGAAAACTAACATCATTGCCAGGTCTTAGCATTCAAAGGTCATGAGTCAGGCCCTGAAAACATCTTATTTGCCTTCTGGCTTCTGAACCTGGAATACTTGGGTTATGTTTCAGGCTATTATTCATACACATAAAAAGTAGAAATTTTACTTAAGATGAAATTCTCCACAGTCACGAGTCATCATCTGTAGTGAGATCTGTGATAACTTTGTGAGAGTTGGCAATGCTGAAGTGGCTGCAACAGGACCTTTCTAAATAGTAATACTGCTAATCAGTAGTCACTATAAATTTTACTTAAAAACAGTAATCTTTGGCTAGTTCTCAGCAAAGAGTTAATGGCAGCTGCTTAGGCAAAATGTGCTCCAAGGCATTTGCTATTATCAGGATAAATATTTTCAGAGATACCGGCAATTAAAACAGCACATGTGTCAAAATAAAGGAGCAAAGTGAGCTTTCTGATGCTGTATTTGATATTTTCTGTTTTTTATCTTCCTTATTTACACAAGGGGACAAGGCAAAAGGCATTTCTCACTAAGCAGTGGGAATTTATGAGAGCCTCCTTTATCATCTTTCTGCAAATGATTCCACTGTCTACCTACTCATCGTTCCCATCTGCTTCCTTTCCACACAGCTGAAGTCTGCAAAAAGACTGGAAATGAATAATAATGCATATCAGTGTGGCCATATTTGTTTTCAAGAGGCATATCAGTCTGCACTGGTAACTTAACACGGATCTTAGTAGTATCTTAATAAGTATCTTGCTGGGAATTCACCTGTATCTCATGGAACCTGGTGATATGCTAGTGCAGGGTTTTCAACCTTTTTCATTTGCGGAGACCCTTGAAACATTTCAAATGGAGGTGCAGATCCCTTTGGAAATTTCAAATGAAGGTGCGGATCCTTTTGAATTGTAAGCGTGGGTACAGGTTTCCCTTGCCATGCATGGGGATTAGGTTCCTGGAAGTTCCCGTGTTTGGCAATACTGTGGTTGACAAAACTGGCAGGGTTGGGGGACCAGGGCCTGTGGGTGGGGCGGGGGGAGGGGGGAAATGAGAGGCATGAGCAGGGCCAGGAGGGCCGTGGGAGGTATTTTCAGACAGTATCCCTCCTTTTCTGAAGTGTGGATACTCAAACCCGTGACTGGTGAGGGAAACCTGTATTCACATACTTTTGATTGATCATAGTCATCTTTCATGGAGCCCTTAGTCTGTGGGCCCCCAAGGAGTCCACCAGCCACTGCATTAGCACAAGCTCATCTGACAGTGTGCCCTAGTAACGCCATCAGGTTGAAATGAACTGACACAGAGTGCCTGGTGCCACCACTGCATCTTGCCATGAGGTAACGTGTCAGGGTAATGCCATCGGGTCGCAGCATGCCACGGTGGCATGGGAGATGCTGTGACAGTGCCCCACAACATGCTAAGGTACCAGTGCATTTATGCCACCCTGTCATGCCTGCTATGGGGAGTGCGTGAGGCCACCCCTGCCCATCACAGGAGAGCACATACTGGCCTGGCCGAGGTGTGCCGACATGGGTGTGTGATGCGCCAGTGTGATGCCACCCTGATAGGTGATCTGACGGGTGCGTGATGTCACCCTGGGCTTCAGTGAGATGTGGGGCACTGAAGTGAGGGTACCGCTAAGGTGTCTGCCCTGGACTGTGGGCACCCGGATGGGGGCGCCCCTGGCAGCCCCGCGGGTGGGGGCGGGGCCGTTGCTATGGAGCGGGGGGGCGGGGCGTTCCCCGCGGGCTTTATCTGCGGCGGG